GGTTAGCCCTGACCGCAAGTGTTGGTTCTGCCATAGCGATATCTAGGTCAGCTGTAAAAATGGGTACAGAAGGCTCTAGGGGGTTTACCTCGAGGATAAATTAGTTCTAAGGTTGAGAATGATGATCTGATACATCAGAGATGACCAGTGATGTTAACACAGATTACAGATTCAGAGGGTTTAAAGTAGAACACCCAAGCAGGGGTATTAGGTATGGCAATTAGTAGAGAACCTTTGGGCGGACTCCTTAAATAGGTAATATAGAAAAATTACATGTGTAGCCAATTGTACACTCTCCTGTAGTGATTCATTAAACCACAATACTAACAAATGATTAATAAAAGTCAAAAGACCAAAGAGGTTACCTTAATACCAAAAAAAAAAATATATATATAAGGATTAGTATTTTAAATATTCAAAGAGGTCAAATTGTACTGGTTAAGTAAGAAAAAAATTTCATTTTCTGATAATCTATCTTCTGAAGATTCATCTTCATAATCAGATAGATGTTTACTAGAACTGTTAAGATATTGAAAGAAAGGGCCAATTTCAGACCCATTTGATTGAACTCTGGAAACATCAAATTTTATATTTATTTGTGATAGCACTTTATGTTGATATTTAGCAGCTGCAAGAAAAGATGTATCTTGATTTTGAATTTGCTAATCTTCAATATAAGTTGGTTCTACAGAAGGTGCATGACTTTGTTGATGATACTGTTCAGCATATTGTTCAGATTGTAAATCTTGCAGTTGATTTAAAACAGCTGACAGTCTTAAAGGATTTTCCTCTTCACTTAGATTAACATTTTCTTTTTTAAAATACATTAATATCATATTAAAATATTATGATATCATTATAAGAAAATTATTTAAAAATAATAAAAGCTATCTGCAATGGTTGAAAAAATTAGCTATTATTTTTACCCTTCATACAATGTAATTTTTGTAGCTTTTTAGATGTTGGTGAATTATTTAAAGATTCAGATACCACTGGTTCTGTTTGTAAACCATTATTTATTTTTTTTATACTTTTTATTTGTTTGTCTATTAAACAAAATTAAATTGAGCCAACTCAATAATAAATAAACCAAGAGATTAATGCTTACTGGATAATGATCTTTTGAGTAGCATTTTAGTTCTAAGTGAAAAGGATAAGAAGTTCAAATTATTTATATATAAATTATTTATATATTTTATGCTTCAGGTAAATGATTGCATCAGATGTATCTGATGCAAGTGTGGATTTGATGAGGGCTTAAAAAACTATAATGTTTTTGCTATCATTCAAAGAGTTGTTCTTGATATATGATTATTGCGATCAAAGAACAATAGTAAAATAAGAAAATTCCATTAGCTATTTACTACTATTGTTAATTTGTTGATAGATCAAAAACAATAAGTAAATGGTTTGAAAAACAATAGTGTTTCAAGCCCTGATCTAATACCGCTTGCAATTGAATTTTTGGTTAACATCATTTTTAGAACTCTTTGGAGGAAGGTGAAAAGAATAAAATTAAATAAACATATAGAATGAACAACTATAAGACCATTTGATTGGTTAATGTAATTAAAAGATTGGTGAGAGCCTTCAGCTGGGGGATGATGTTAACCGAAAAATCAACTTCGAATGACCTAAGGCACAACATATACATATGTATATATAATCAGAGTTATAAAAGAATACAATAGTAGTCTAATGATATCATATGATTTTTCATATATAAAATAGAATGTGTGTAATAAAATCAAACTCTTTTTATTCTTTGTATATTCAACAAAAAATTTAACAAAAATTTAAAATTTAAATACTTCTGTATATAATTTTAAGTGTAAGAAACATAATCAAAAGCAGTAATGTAAAAATAACCATCTTACTATATATATTTAAATTTACTTGATTTATATATTTTATCCTGATACTGGTTTATTTTTTTCAAATCTCAGATCTTGTTATTGTTCTTTTTTCCATAATTGGCTTTTTGTTCTGGTTTCTCCTTTATATGTATAGAACAATGTTCACTCTTAGAAATAGGTTTAAGAAAAATATACTGCAACAGTTCTATGATATATATCTATATGCTAAGAAAACCTATTTAGACAGCTACAATGTCTCTAAATTTTCAAATAACTTGGATTATAGCAATACTGGTTTGAACTATACAAACTTGCAGAATGACAACTATAATAGCCAACAACTTGATAATGATAATAGTGACTCATGGTCTAATTATTATAACCACATTTGCAGTAATAATCAATGGTCTAAACAAAATACAGATTTGAAACTTGGTCAAGAATTTGATGATTTAACTTATGACAGTAATGATCAGCAGTTTGAACAGAATACAGATTCAGAACTTGGCTAAGAATTCGATAATTGGACTTATAATAATTTAGAAAATACATCAATGTATAGTGAAAATAGATTTAATATTGATATTGATTGTAGTTTAGATGATGAGAGCAAACCGATCTTAAACATAGATGACTTACCAAAAATATTTGATAAAACAAAATCTGATTTGAATTATAAATGCTTATTTGAGCTTTTTAAAAACTTTACAAGTCTTGCTATGTTTATATAGGTCACTGAATATATAACTTGTAAGCATTGTAATTGGATTTGATTCTATAACTATTAAAAATTACTTATTTTTTCTTTTTTTTTAGCAACTATAGCCTACCATGATTTAGTACAAATTTTATGATATCCTAAATTTGATGTAAATCATCTACCTACTAATTTGCAAAGCCTGAAAAAGTAGTGCAAACAACTACCATTAATGAAAATTCAAAGTCACATAGTCCCAGTAAATATTAAACACACCCCATCAACTATTAAAGATTTCTCTTGAGTTTACTACTTTTCCTTAATAGAACACCTTCAATGAATATTAAAAAATCTATTTCTTAGCTTCCAATTATATTTTGGGCCTAGCATTTTTTCAGAATCATGTGAAGAATTGTGAGAAGGTAATTTATATGCTGAATCTCCTTTTTTTGGCCAACGAAATTTAACAATAATACAAGGTATATATCAATTTTATTCAGCCATATCTGGGTTATATTCTTTCTTATTTGTTACTTCAGTTATATTCCCATATTTGAGCAAATGAATTTTTTTATATGTTTTATATATTGATCTATATTTTGACATTAGTTATATTAAGAAAATAAAAAAAATAAATGAAAACATATAAAGAAAATATAATCTGAGTATGATTGTATAAATATGTTATTATTTTTATACATTTTATCTAATAATTTTATTCTTAGGCTTATTTAATTGTAGCGATTTTGTTTGCTACAAATCAACTTTGAAAACTATTGAAATTGGGCAAATTCGATCCTTTGTAATTGTTAACAAAAAAATGGCAGTTTGAATTCAAAGATTACTTCATTATAAACAAATTTTATAATATCTAAGGTCAAACCAACATATTTTATACTCACTACAGGAACAATATTTGGTTGAAAAGTTTGATTCCTTCATTATTGATCCTTCATCATTAATTTGTCATATTAATATTTGGTTACAAGATCAATCTGCTCCACTCATAATTGATTTTTTTGTAAATCAAATATTATATAATTTTAATAGTCAATAGAAACTTTGCTCAATAAAATTATACCACCAACATTCAGCTAAATGTACACACATCAAATTATCAACAAATACAAATTTACCAGTTCTTAAATTTTATTTGGACATATATTATGATGACTTTGGAACCTTTTGTAACACTTACTATTCTTTAGGTGGTGTCTATCTACAAGTTGAAAATATGCCATGATGATTAAGAAAACAACTAAAAAATCATTTCATAATTGGGTTAGTACCCTTTGGTGAAAATCTTAAAGACTTTATTAAAGTTATTATTAATGAAATTCACCAACTAGAACAAGGATTTATAATGAATATAAATGGTGTTGACTGTTGGATTTCAGGTGGGCTAGCTATGGTTATGGCAGATTTGCCACAGGGAAATAATATTGCAAGTGTTTTATGTCATAATGCTAATCTAGAATATTGTAGCTGAAAGCTTCTAAGGATAAACTAACAGATATTTTATTTGATATATATTTTAATGGTCATTATCATCAAATATCAAATCAAGAATTTCAACATATAAGCGAACAATCAACAAAAATAGCATGATTGCAACTTCGTTCACAATATGAGTTGCGATTATTACCAGGCCCACTAGATCCTATTCTTCATAATCACCATCAACATACCTTACAAGATGTATATCATGCTATCACAAAAAAAGTGGCAAGACTTCTTGATTGCACTTGTTTTATTTTAACATCACAAGGAGAAAATAATTTAATTCAGTATTGGAAACATTTTGATGTTTCATCAAAATAGTCATGTTTATCAAATTCAATTTCACATAGGCATTCATTTATGATGTCTAATATTTTACAGATTTTGATGATATTTTCTTTTATATTGAAGTGTTTTTTAAAAATCAATGATGTAAAGACTAATTTTTTAGAAAAAACAAAAATTCGATTAAGTTTCTCTTGCCAAATTGATGTTATAAATTATCTGATCTGGGCTTAGGAGCTTTTAGCAAAAGTCAGTAAAAAGATCTTTTCTTTAGCTATTAACAGAACGAATGGATATAATCATTTTCAAAAAGCATTAGATAAAGAACTTAAAATGTTAATTAATATAAATTTTTTTTATTTTTAAATTTAATTTTTTATATACTTCAATTTATTTAAATTATTTTAAAAGCTATTTTCAGATAACTTTCAGAATCTTCCAAACCTATATATTAATCAGCATATAGTCGATCATGCATGCCAATATTCAATATACATTAATACAGCAGTTGGTATAAAAGAAATAGTGCATCGAATTTTTAAATCAATCATATCACATACAAACAAACATGATCTTGAGCTTACATTACTCTAGCAAATCAATACTTTACAAACATTAAGATATTTTGTAAACAGTGGAATAAATATTCAAAGTAGTATGACAACACAATTCATACTTAAAGATCTATTTGTTAAACCAAAGTTTTGTCATTTATTGTCAGAATAGTGTATCGATGTTAGTAATTTTTCAATACATACTTCACGAGAGTTTGATCGAGGTAATATAATTATATTGTATAATTTTTAATAAAAATAAAAACTTATTAAATAAGGTTATTACTAGATAATTTTGCTAATAATATTGGTTTTTCGCACTTCAATTGTTCTGACATTAAGCTTGGATCGAGAAGGAATAAGTGCGAAATTGAAAATTCTGGATTTATTTTTGCAGATCTTAGAACTAACAGACTTTTAGAAAATATTATAAGAGCATATTCATCATATTTCTTTTTGAAACACGCTTTATTAAATACAAAAATTAGCTACTATCAAAATGTTTTATATTTTATAACAAAACCCAGTGGTAACTATCAACATGTGAAATTTGGCATTGAAGAAATAGTTGAAACAATATTATCTGATAAGCAACAATCTGAATTCAGTATTATAAAAGGAATTATTAAATATATATAGAATGATAATCAAATTTATGTGTTCATTTATTTAAATTGGTTAAAAGACCTTAAAAAATGTGATGATTTATTAGAATGCTCTATATATTGTTTTCAACATATTTATAATAATTCTCGAATTTATCCAATATCAGTTGTGTTATGATCACCAGATGTTTCATTTGTTTACAATTGTAAGCAAGATGTTCTCTGCAACAATATAACACTTTAAATCATGAATATCTCTGAAATGATTTCTTTTTTATAATCATTTAAGTATATATTATTTTTGTTATTTATTTTTGACATGTTTGTAAA